ATATCCAGAGAATCCTCGTATGTCAGCTGCTAAGACGTGGGTCTACGTTCAACTACGTTCAACATTAATGACGCCATCGGCTAAAGAACAAACTGATATTTTTCTACAAGATAATATACGATCTCTTATTTCTAAACTTCCACTCAACTACGATCCATGACTCTGCCCACAGATCAAAAACGACTTACGTATACCGCTAACTGTAAGACACAAAAAGCAGTGAGTTGTCAGATTTTACAGTACGACATAGTTTACTGTGGCAAAAACTATCACTTCATACAAGTAATTATGATACCATTATCACTATTAGCACAATAACCCTGTTCTTAGACTCTAAAGTGCCTTGTCCATTATTCACAGAGATTCTTCCGTACCCAGAACCCCAATTTTGTGGACTGACTAATATCTAGACTTAGCTTGCGAAACTACTGATCGATAATCAACATATTGCACCCTCATTGTCTATCGTTCAGACACGTGACTTTTCTTCTCCCGGTAACCATAGTTAATCACACTATCGTGCCCATACTCCACAGATGCGGATTCGAATTTTCCTTCATGTCTGAAGATGAACCATCTTCCATGTTATTCCGAATCTCTTCCTCATTTGCACTGAAAGTAGACAGATAAGTCACTAAACCTATGGATGTGTGGTCAAACATGGTCGACGATATAAAGCTCATAGAAACCTAAATTGTTGTAAGCGTCTTTCAGTTTGTTTTTACCAGTTCGGAAATTTCGTTTCATCAAATTTTTGATGATTCGAAAGTCTTGCTTTCTTAATTGCTTATCATATTACCCATAGATTTTGCAACCGCAAAATCTTTTTCACGTTCTTTGATCAGCTAAGTAGATATCTAACCGACAATAAAGTACCCTAAGCTGTATTATTTGCTTGTAACGTGAAACTGGTAGTGACAGTGTATTCCAACAAGGTGTTCAACATAGAGCATAAACTAAAGCACTATAGAAAAAAATAACAAATATGAGAGACGCTAACGTTACGAAAAGAGGGAGTGTGGAGTGCCTGACTAGAAAATATGGTAATGGGGAGATAGCCCCATTTCTGTATCTTGAAACAATTTGCTTGCGGCTCCTTTTGGAATGGTTGATTTCGCTAAGCAGTGGTTTTTATGTTACTTTTATGTTACAACTACCCCTTTAACTCATGTTAGTTATGTTGAAATGGCTTCACTTCATACCGAAATATCCTATCGCCAGTTGAAGCGCACAGTTGAGCATAGAACAAGTGTACTCTCGACTTTGTGGAATTAGGAACCATGAGAACTGGAGTTCGTTACTAGAGAATTCAGACACTGTTTCCCTTAATGTATTCGAGAGTCCTACACAATCTTGAGATTTACAATTATTTTTAATCTCCTCCGTTCATGCACTGCTTGATTTAACCGCCGACATAACTGTGACTCGTCTGAATACATATGCACAGCAAGCATATTAAATGTTACATTGAACATTCGAGTTTTAACGACATCACTCATATTTTAATATACCCAAATTTATCCCCTTGTTTCTATAACAGGGGTGTCTTGTGAAATGTCAGTCTGACTGACCAACCTATATGGAAACATTCTGTATCATTTCTAACACTAATATTACATGTAAAATCTCATGACTTACACAACATGCTGTTATTTGAGAACACATTACTACCGTTCGTTTTCCGTTCATGTAACAAACTTGATGGTCCTACTATTACTTGGTGTTTTTTCAATAACCAGTCTCATAGTTTATAATTTAACAGATCTGTATGCTAGCATTTCATAGCCTTTATTTGGTAACCTATTCTTAGGTACTGTTGCAAACGAAACCAGACATCTAACGGACTATCAAAAATTGTTGAGAATTTTACCCGTTTTACTAGTTTTCTAAAGCATTTGTTTCAACTAACGTTTGATATTGGTTCCTTCATACTTTTGAACTTTTGTTTGTTATCTTACTTTACTTCGTACATTGAGACTTCTGCTTAGAAAGTACAAAAATCGAAAATTTTTCATAAGAACTGCTATCCTAATAATTAATAAATCTATAAATTTATTAATACTTCGGACTTTACGAATGAAATTTGTATTTTGGACTTGTAATGCTTATTTTCTTATAACTTAACTGGAAGTCATGAGTTTACCAGTAAACTGTCATTCAACGACGGGCCAGACTAGATATTTTCGGTTGACAAGGCTCTCCGTAGTACTAATGATCTTCAAGTTGAAATCTTATAACTTTACTCATAGATCTGCATCATAGTTGAACGGTGTATTAAGTGAATATGTAACTTTTAGTGCAAAAGTTTATCTGCTAAACTTACATGTCACATAGTAATTTTCGAGACTGAGCATTAAAAATATAACTCAGACTGATTCAATGTATTAACGTCCAAGGAACAATATAAAAACGGATCAAAAAGTTTCTGGCCAAAAGTCATGACGACGAAGAGATGTCTTCAGCATGTAATAATAATGAATTATAGTTCGTCGCAAATTCCCGAACTATTCATCAGGTATTAACGTCAAAAACTGCGTGTTGTGTCTACAAACTAGTACTAGCTACTTATTGAAATAAACAAGACTGGTATGGTAACACAAGTAAGAAGATTAGACTGTAGAAGGATGCTTTATTCAGCAGTTACTAATTAATACATTCAACATGAGAGTTACATATCATTTTGAATGTTCGGTCAGTGAATAAATTTGGATGAAAGTAACTAAAGTTAGTTAATAATCTAACATGTAGTATGATTTTCATAGTAAATAAATTGACTTTACTGAAAAATGTGACTCACTCGTGGTTTTTATGTTTGTTTTATTCCTAACAATAACTACCACTAGGTTAACTTTACTATTATTTTGGTGAAACAAATAAAAAATATTATTTGGGCTGATGTTCTACGTCATGAGGAAGGAATGTTTTTCTGTCTAAAGGACGACAGGCTCTTAGATCACGTCTTTCATGTTATTTATTTATTATATTTGAAAACACATCTTTCATGTGTGACTAATCTGATTCCGAAATTAGATTTGGCTTTACAAGAGATAAAAATATTCCGGTAGATGTAATTTTCGTAAACCTCAGTAAAGACTATGACCAAACCTCTCATTTGGGTCTTCGAGCAAAGTGGGAAGGCTTGGTAATGGATTATACATCAAGATCAGTCTGATGAATTTCTTAGTGATAGGAGGCAACGTGTGAGAGTAAACAGCACCTTGTTATTGCAACAATATGTGGAGGCTGAAGACTGGTGTTTGTTAGCAGTAAATTCTAGCATGCTCATGGCATGGTAAATAAATCGTCGTGACGAATTATGCAAGTAGATGATAGATGAATTGCTTTCAACTAATATTAATAATAATAATATTTTAAAAGTCACAGTAACTAATGAGCACAGAATTATGGGTAACTAAGATGGGCGCTGCCAAAAGTTTCCATATTTTGTAGGTAATCCGTAAAGCCTGTCTTAACTTGGAGGACAATACATTTAGGATATTCTGCCTGACGTATGTGAGACCTAGTTTGAAATAACGAGTTCAGTCGACGAGGGTTCAACGACGAGGTGCCGGAATTGCAGTCGTTCTGGCTTGTCTTTTCAACAGACTGGTACGCTTCAACCCACTTCTGTTATCCGACAGTGGATCGCGTGGTGACGTAATAACATGTACCAAATAATGGTTTTGGTACTTATATGATTTATCTTTCTTTTCAGGTAGTCTGACAGGACATTCTCAGATAGTTGTTAATAACTGGAATTCTTTGCCGGGAAACGTGGTATCAGCACTTGTTGATACATTCAAAGAGATATCGCATCTTCACAGCACTATAAATCTCGATGGTTAACATGAGTCGCTTGACTTCTTACCCTTACTCCTTAAGACTGATTGCATCCTATATATGGGCATACTGAGTTTTTGGCCATATCTCTTGTTCGGCACCCTTCCGAATTTCTACCGTTCTCTGCACGTTTTCCAGTACTCAAATTACCTCTAGGGTAGTCGCGAGAATATTTTCATCTCATCTATGGATTTAGTTCTAAGACGATTTTAGTTATCTGACGGAGTTACGCACAACCTGCATTGTCATATTTCGGTAGGTAACCGAATTCCATTTTATTAAAATACACCCTAATGCATGCAGAAGTTTCTCGCAACTCGACTTTGATTGACAGTCTGAAATTAAGAAACAGTACAGAGTTACACGACCAGATGGGTTATAATTCCAGGGCACCAATTATGTGGGAAGTCGATAAGAGAGTCAGGACTGTTGTCTATGAGCGGTTTTTATTTGGTGCTCAGTTTTGTCAATATTTGTGTATCTAAGCAAATAAGATCATTAACCTACAAAAGAAAGAAAGGTAACATCACAACCTGCAATAGCCCCAATCATTGCAGTAAGGTAATCCTACTAGAGCATCATCATAGTGACGCACTTGAAAATTCTCACAGGGTTTTCCACTGATAGGAAAATACCAAGGTAACACCCCAGTTTATGCATCACATATCTGTTCAACATGAAACTCCCTCATGACCATAGAACCTACAGCCTCTTTGGTGAACCGTTTCAAGCAAATATTAGATGAGCATACAAAAGCACACGAACTTCTTTCAGCCAGGTGGGATGACTAGTGAAATCACAGAGTAGGATAAATTTGGAGTGACCAGACTCCCTCCATCCAATGTTACATGTGTTGGTATTTCTTCATATCTCTCCACTTACATATTTGTCTTAATGAACATTTTTATCCCGCCTCAATTTTTATCCACATCTAATAAGACATTCTTCATATCCTGTTACTCTGACTGCGATTAACCAAGCTACTGGTAATATAATATTCTCAGTCCTGATAGTCCTATAGTCCATTAAAAAGAACATGGAAAAATCACTAATGCAGTTTTTGCAACTGAGCAGGTGCAAATAATACAAAACTTTCAGGTAATAGATCTATATACTCTGTTTACATCAAGTATTTTAAAAGTATTGATTTCCCAGATTTCGGCGGTAATAATGAAGTTGGACGAGGTTAGGATTCTTTTGACATTAACGTACTCTAGTTGCCAATCTATGCTGAGTTTCTCGATAATAAAACATATATCCTTGAGAGATTAGAGCCAAACCCAGTTACAAATATTCTTATGAATTCTGTTAGTCCTATAAGGACACAAGCTCAAGAAGTTTTTACACACTCTATGGTAATTTTTGTCCTAGATTTTAGTTTATTGACCTTTAGAAACATGCTTTAAAGTATCAATCAAACATTAAAAATATTACCACATGTACGTCATTTGTGTTACATATTTTCCGAATTAGCTATAACCAAAGTAATAAGGGACGAACCGGTTATATTAGCTCGTCTAGGATTCGTTGTTAGTTGTAGTTTGGGAGGCTGGGTTCTTGGATATAAAGGTGAGTTCAGTTGTATTTTCAAACTAATTTTTACAGGTCGTTCTTTCCGCAAGTTGGTTTACGCATCCATATGTGGTTCTGTTGCAACCGTTGTTTCCTTCCCTAGTGGCTCTTTATCTAACCTTAAGTACGCCTTTGATATTGGGTCGAACAAGTTCTCCAAGGTCTCAAAGAAAGTCATTGTAAGTTCATTGCATCTTTTGTCATCATCGTTTAATATTTCAGTCGCAGGAGGTATGAGCCTGTGCACAGTTTGGTTATCCGTGAGATAATTAACCTACTTTGCAGTGTATCAGTCATAATCTTGCAAACAAAATTTCTTCCTCAAGTTCATGGGTTCAGATATTTATTATACGGACAGTCGGATCGCTTGCTATTGGTTTGAATCATGGTTATATATATATAATTTCAGTCACATTACTTAATCACCACGAAATATTTGTATCGCCGCATGACATATTAGCCATAATAGTTGAGGCAGAGGACCGGACGAATATTTTGAAGTACCATATCTGAAACGATAGTACCGACGTGTACTGTAAGCAATTGTCGGAAGTCGGCCGGTTTTGGTCCTTATGTAGCTGTATTAACTAGTATTCTGACCAATAAGTTACTGTTTATTGTCGGTGTAGTGATACTCCCCGAACCTTTATCGTGAGGTTGGTTTTAAATCTGAATTCCATTAAGAAATCATTTTCCAGACCAGTTAGTCGGCATTATAGCTATCAGGACTCGGGATTTATTAGTTTCCTTATAATTATCAACTTCCTCATGAAGTAAAGCAACTCGAGAACATTCTTAAATGTTTTTTATATTAAATGTAAGTATTTTTCACGGTAGACGTTATGTTTAGTTTATAGCATCTAGTTATTATGTAAGACTCCGAAGCAAACGGAGACTATGTGGAGCATACCGCCGTATATCGAAAATATCTTTAACTGCAGTTAGTGACCTAAAGTGTTGCGCAGTCCTAACCAAAGAAGAACTGAATAACTAGACTTAATAGTCGAACAAGTCTAAAGCTTTCTGTTTCGATACCAGTTAGCGATATTCAAACTATTGAGTTGAAATGTCAACGTAATACATTTTCATGCTATTTTATATTTTAGAACTAACATCTTGGTTTTTCAAAAGCAGTTAGGATTCAAAATTAGCAACTTATATCTATTGCAAATACTATTTGACGTAGTGTATAATCAAGTAAAAAGAGTTACTAAAAACATTTATAAACAATTTTTAAACTACTGGGCACTACTTTAGAATAGTTATTTTAATAGTTATACATGTTTCAGCAAAAGGATCTTTGTGTTCATATCTAGGTTTGCATGATGTACAAATATAAGTGAATGTAAAATCGGTTGTTACTGATTATTGAAATGGGACATTTTAGTGATATTACGCCAGAACTTATGGCTATTGATGTTGCTGAAGGTTAAATATTTCATACTGAAAATTTGGTATGTGTTGTGGGAAAGTATATAATCTGGTAAAAATTAGTAGACTCCATTTTTAATAGTCTATTTAAAGCTTGTAAAGTCATAATTCGTAATAAATGCAAAGATAACTATTCACATGCTAATTTACTATCGAAGGAAGATAAAGCAATTCCAAATGCTTGTAGGGCACACATAGGATACGTATAGTCCATTGTGAAGACGTCCTCAGAGATACGTCCAAATTGCATAAGTATGTATTCATCTAAAAAACGATAACGCAAAGCAAGTTCTTGTCAGTATATGCACTTAAACAGTCCAAGTTGATAACATCTGCATTAAGTTGATAGGAATCAACCAATCACAGCCGTTACTACTAAAACGTTTGTATCATGAATTCTCAAAATACTAAAAATTGAAAATTTAGAGTCAAAGGATCATCGTCAGATAAACGTTTTTGTAGCTGTATTACAGTAGTTCTTGTAAACAAATTATCTACAGTGCTGCTGTTAGCGGAAAAAGAGGCCATGAAGGTGAGAATACCAAAATTCGTCCAATTTCTTTTGTTACAAGCTTGACGAGAAATAACTTTCTACAGTCAGTAACAACGTGGAGCTTCACACGTACGTACATCAGTTCGAGTTGCCATACCACATTAGCACAGAGATGCAGTTATCGATTCAAATCCCATAGTGGTAGAGGTACTGAAAGTATAAGTAGAGATAGGGAACATTAAGGTTTGATGATGTTATTAAAGGAGTATAGTCCAGTGGAATAAATTGGAAAAGAAAATAAAGGACATGAATAATTCAGAAGATTAGAGTTTGAGAGAACACAAAGAGTGGACGCACATGCGCCATTGCAAACGATTTTGAGCCATATCATTCAAGGTCTCTAACCATCGGTTGCTATCATCTCGCGGTCCCCAACCAGGTAGTCTACACCTACCAACATGGCTCAGTCCACTTGTCAGTGACTTCACGGATTTGTGCCATGTTTTGGTCTGGCCGCCCCTAGCTTTCTTCCAACCTACTCCTACACCATAAAACATCTCTTGTCGGGCATGCGTAACACATGTCCCAGCCATCTCAACTGATTAAGTTTCACTATTTCATCAATTGATTTCCCATCCATACCTAGTACCCGTTTCCTAACAACTGCATTACTTACTCGGTGTTCCCAAAATATACGAGCAATGTTTTGAAGACACCTACGATCGAATACTAGTAACCTACGAATATCCTCTACACGTACTGGTCATGTTTCACTGCCATAAAGTAGGACGGAACGAACTGCTGCGCAGTAAACAAGTCCTTTGGTTGATAGACGGATATCTCGCCTACGCCACAAATGACGCAAGTTGGCAAAAGCTAGTCGAGCCTTCTGTATCCGTGCTGAGATTTCGTCACACACCAGACCACAAGGGCTGATGGGACTTCCAAGATAAGTGAAGTGGTCGACACACTCAACTACTTCACTCCCTATCACTAGTTGGGGTTTCGACGCAACCCAATCCTGAAGCAACATTTTGCATTTCGAGGGAGAAAATCGCATGCCGAACATGCTTGCAGTGTTGCCTACAGTGGTCAGCAGACTCGGCACTTTGTCAGCGTCTTCACCAAATAGAACTATGTCATCGGCATATTCTAAGTCAACAAGTGAATCTCCCGGTAGAAGTTCAATCCCTGAAAATTTAAATGAGGAAAGTGTCATGTCTAAAAGCCCGTCAATGACAAAGTTAAATAGGAATGGAGAGAGTGGACAGCCCTGACGAATACCACTTGAGATAATCAGTTCTGATGACAGTTTGCCATAAGCTCTCACTCGACCAGTTGTGTTCGAGTAGAGAGCTTTTATAAGGTTGATGTAGTTCTTTGGTACTGTTTTCAGTGACAAACACTGCCATAGAACCTCAAGATCAACAGAGTCAAATGCCGCCTTAAGGTCGAGTAATACTACGATTGTGGGGCGTCTGAATGTGTGTCTATGTTGAAGGACTGGCACAATTAGTGATTGAGACCAGTCAGGTGGGATTACGTCCAGTTCCCAGATTCTACCTAAGACCTCAGTCACTCTCGCTGCTTATACTGGACCACCATCCTTAAAAATCTCAGGGGTAAACCTGTCAGGGCCTGCTGCTCTACCACGCTTAAGATTTCCTATAGCTTTTTCAACTTCGTAAAGAGTCGGAGGACTTACATCAACTAGCCATTCAGGTCGACTGGAGATCGTGGGAAACCGAAGTGTGGCTGAAGGCCAGTTGAACTGATCCCTAAAGTATTCTGCCCATCGGTCCAATCTCCTGGATTTAGAATGAACAAAATATCCATCTTTCTCTGAGATCGTTTCGCTAACAGTTGGGTTCCTAATACCGGTTTCCTTAACAAGTCTTAACAGTTGCCTGCTGTTACCTATTGCCACTGCCTTTTCCATCTCTCTTGCTTTCGCTACTCACCACTGTTCACGATCACTGCGTAGGCTTCTAGTCAGCTTACTCTTAATCTGACTCCGCTCTTCGTTATGTTCAGAGCCAGATGGAATCAGTTTACGAGCGATGTGATCTATTTGGGTCCAGCGTTGAGACGAATTAGAGGGTCGCCATGTTAAAAGATGTTTTTCCTTATGTTTAAAATTAGTGTTTGCAAGAAACAGGCGGCTATCTGAGCATAGCTGCAACAGACGGTCACCGTTATCTGTTCTTTGAGCCGACAACACCCAGGTGTCTTTTTCTTCTCGCTTAGTTTACCTTCTTGAGCATTAAAGTCACCAGCCACTATTACTACATCTGAACGCCTAGCTTTTCGGAGAAGGTCGGAAAGCTTTCTTTAAAACTCATATTTTCCATCATCTGAACTGCAGTCAGTGGGACAGTAGGCAGAGACGACGAAGAGGCAACGACGAGTGTCCCTATCTTTCCGGATCCTTACTGTTCCGTTTAGTCGGACAGCGCACAAACGACTGTCTACTGGGATCCAGTCCAAGAGAGCTAGTTCTGCCCTAGGACTCAATGCTATACCTACGCCAGCGAGGCCACGGGAAGCAGCATCAGGGCTTCTAGATACACGAAGCGTAAATCGGGTTGGTTCGTTACTTTGACATGGTGCGGTCAAATGAATGACACTACTGGGATCCTGTGTGCGCGTTTCGGAGACGCAGCACACATCGATGGAGCGAGATTCTAAAGTCTTAGCTAAGGAAGCCTGTTGTCCTATTTGGCACAGTGTTCGGACGTTGAAAGCTCCTACGTGTAGTTTAGAGCGTGGTTTCAGGAGACCATGAATAACATTCCGCGTACTCGAATCGTTCGCACTAGCGGGGCAAGGTGATAAAGGGACGTGAGAAGGGTTAGTCGTGGAAATAAGAGAGTTATTAGGAGGTGTAGGAAGAATTTGAATGTGACCAACTTGGTCTCGTGTACTGTTACGGGCCCTCAGACCTTGAGTTGCTGCTTTTAGTCTAACCGTTCTCCAATCGACCTGCCTGGCATCGTAGAACATGCAGGAACATGTGTTCCAGCCAATATAGCTCGGTTGGGTCATCACGATAGGCAAGCCCGACCACCACGTCAAGGTAGCAACTACGGTCGGGTGCTTTCTACAGTGATGGTGCCAGCCACTAACATACCTATAGACCTAATGGTGTCCATCCTTATACCAAATTTAGCATATCCATTCATGGTTAACGCAGAAGATTCATTTGAAAATAACTCAAGTTCTCAATAGTAAAATAAACCATTATATTGTGGTCCGTCTGTCATAACGTCGAACCTGATCCGTATGTACATCGGTTCAAGTTACCACACCTCATTAAAACGGAAATGAAGTTGTCAGACCGAATCTCAGTATAGTGTTGGTAACAGTATCATCAGTAACCGAACATTTATGGACTGAAGGAAATATTAATCAATGAAATAGAAAATCTGTACGGAATTCAAAAGCTTAGAATTAAAGGAAAACAAAGCATGGATTCACATGTGCCAATACTAACGGCTTTCAGTCATGTCACTCCAAGTCTGTAACTATTAGTTACGACAATCAGGCGGACACCAGCTAAGTAGTCTACACAACTGTCCAGTCGTCGAGGATTTAGTGGGTTGATGTCATGCTTTCAGTTGGTCCACTTCTTGCTCTCCGGTTTACTCTCACACCGCACAACATCTCCCGTCGAGGTAGGCTGTGGTTGTGCTTACGTAACACGTCCCAACTACCTGTTTAATATTTGCTACCTCATCAATCGACTCTCCATTCTTACCTAGTACCGTGTTTCTAGTCAAAGCATTGCTTACTCGGTGGTCACGAAATACAAGAGGAATGCTTCGAAAACACCCACGATCGAATACTAGTGGTCTACGAGTAAACTTTATTCTTAATGGTCATATTATGTTGTGGAACTATTGCAGAGCAGATACTATTTGGTATGTAATGCGTTGTTTGAATAAATGACGTTTTCAAAGTCCGAAACTTATGACCCTCGGCTGCAGATCGAACGCAATCAAAACAGAGAACAAACCTGAAGATTACCTGTAAACTTTGATGCAGTGGTGATATTCCAGCTTCAGCGTTGAGCTGTAGGATTTGGGTTTAAGACTAGCAAACAAATTCTGACAACACTCACCGCGAGAAGGCAATGAGTAGGACTTCCCTGACAGTGGCCATATAAGGACAGTTCGAGAGGGAAAGCGGACTCTCCCCACCGTCGGCCATACTGAAAATACGTCAAGCTTAATAAACATGAATAGAATTATCGACATGCATGTTCGGTTACTTATTCCTCAAGATACCATTTAGTCCCGCCGACTGACTATATCTATAATAGCGTCTGTCCCTTACGGTTCTTCAGCAGTCGGGTCACATTAATTAGCTAAATTAGGTATTGTTGTCACCTACTGTCAGTTATTCAACTTTGTCAGAAATATGTTAGAATCATGTTTGTGTGGACACACATACATAGGGAGGAGTAATCGAACAATGTAATCAAGGGTCAATGAACATGTGTCTAAATGGCTTCAAAATCAATGTGTTTCGAACGATCGATCAACGTGGGTGGTAGAAAACCAGCGTCATCGATAGCGAAACATATAATTGAAACGGGGCACAAAATTGATAATAATGCAGCTTTTAAAACGTTGTATAGAAATTTTCAAGAACGAATTCTTAAGTTTATTGAAGCCTTGGCTATTCGTAAATTTAAGCCCCTTTTATGTGTACAAAAACAACTTGTCGTAACCTTGAATTTACCTTGGTAATCCTTGAGTCATTCTATGGCCTAGGATAATGCGACAATTTCTTATTCTTTCTCTCCCCTTTGTTAATTTTGTTTGTTTGTTTGTACTTTAACTTTCATGTAATTGACCTTTATAAAATTTTTATATAAAATGCCTTGACAAGTATATGTGTGACCAGATTGTTCGAAATGTATACATCACATTTTTCAGATCAACTCCGTCTTCTCATTGTTCTATCTAAATTTATAAAAGGGACTAATTGCTTTAGAATCATTGTAGTCCAACTTAAGTATGATTACGTGTCTGTATTATTACTAACAGTATTTTCATGTGAAAATGAATAATGTAAGGATATTCTTCGATTTCCTACAGTCGTGTTATATATTAGAAATATTGCTTCTGAACCTTAACAAATGGGGTTGGATGATCATGTATGCTTTCAAAAAGTTACTCGTACGATGGAAACAACGAATCACTTCATAACTTTGTTGGTGACATGATTACACCAAGGAAGTTTTTAAAATACGACTGACAAGAAAGGCTTTTCTAGGAATGTAGTAATTGGGATCTTACCGTCACTTCTGTGTACGATTTGGAAGTTCTTCACCGAAGCTTGCGTGACACGACCATGAAAATTGAGCACGTATGATTGGGTCTCTGCAAGTGTGGAAGCAAACAAGAGTGAGTCTATGTATTAGTAAATATTAACAAACCTGACAGTGGGGCCTTTTAAGATCAATCGGTAATCAACATAATGCATACTTTGAACTGAATGCGTAAATAGCGGCTACAAGTATCATCTAGGATAAACTAATACGAATATTTGAACAACGTCACTATGATCATAGCTTCTTAAATAAGATTCTTAGTGAAGTAGCTCAAGCGAATGCGCTTAAAGAAAATACGAGAGGGGACAAATATTCCATCTCAACCAAATGTTAGAAAGGCTTTATAACTGAATATAAATCCATTACTAATTAAGAAAATGTGGGTCGGCAACTAAACTTAACGTTAAAAATAAAAATAATCGTGGGCTGTTAATGAAATAGATACCAAAACTAGTCAGTTAGGATATAAAAATCAAAATGGTAACCATAATTCTAGATTTGGAAAGGACTAAATAAGAAGGGTAGGAAAATGTACAGATACTGGATACGAAGACTAGCTTCATTCTAAATTCTTATAGGTAACAGTATGTTAGGAGCGAAATCGTAAGGAATAAAACATGGGATAGCACTTGCTAGATAGCCTTGAGGGTTAAGTAGCTGCCTCAGTTTAATGACGGACTTTGATATAGTATGCGAGGATAGGATTCCTCATTGATCGTTACTATTCTTCGCCCGACCGTCATGCGTGATGTTTAGAGGTGCGATGGATGAACTTGTACAGTTTCGTTGACTCACTTTTAAACTACAATGTAAGGATCAGAGGCTTCTTAGATTGATAGTTAATTCACTTTAGTTTCTTTTACTGTTGCAAGTTTTGTTAGAAATTCCGACGAATATAAATTTTTGCTCAGTAGGTCACGGATAGTTTTTAAGACGCTCGAAGTTGTCTTTACAAACAGCTTCAGCTCTTTAAACCACACATTCAACTAGATCTCCGCTGTTGCACTTATCTATAAAATACTGATATGGTGGAAATCACTTGAAGCTCTAGTGTTTTTTTCAGACAGCTGCAACACTTGGTGACCGAAATCTTCGTATATCCGACCATTTCAAAAAGACGAATGCTATTATGTTGTTGGTGCTCTTAGTACTGTAGTTAATATGAGCATTCAAGTCAATCCAAGAAAGTGGACTCATTGTGTTCAATAGATCACCAGGTAATCCCTAAAACAATCTAGAAGATACTGCAAAGGATATGTCACTTTTTCTGGAACTTAATAAGAACGACACACTACAGACAGTATGCTATATGTAAACAGGAGAGTAAATAAGGACTAGATGAGCTACAGTCTAAATTTCAATGGACAGCAATAATGAAATGACCACTTCATAAGGGTAATTTATCACAGGAATAAAGGGATACCACAGTCACTCAAAGCCACCAAATAGGATATAGCCATCACCCATAAATATACATACTGTGTGGCTTGGGAACACCGATATCGGGATATGAAATAGTTCCTTTTAAAAAACTATCGCGACCTTAAAACCCTATATATTAATAAGCAGCGTATCATATTGTTATAAAAACGGTAGAACTCGTTTCACACTACAAGATGAAGTCCCTAGATAACAATGAACCTGCGTATGCATCTTATGTTGCTTTCAACAAAGTATCAGGGAGGGTCCCACAGTCCATGTTTCTATTGACACGTTGGGAGCTACAAATTTCTGGAAGTCCACTCATAAATCAGGGAGTAACAATCAGCTCTTAAATCTTCTGTAAACTGACGCATATCAGGCCGCCACGAAGTATAATATTGATTTCAATAACTCTTGATTGTCAGTCAGCTACAAGGTAGGACCAGGCACATATGTACATCGGTCAATTTTAATAATTTATTCTGCATAGAAATATGCTACCTAGTATGTTCATAACTTTAATATAAGGATCATAATGACGATGAACAAGTATTTAGAGATTATCTTGTTATTGTTTATTATCCAGCTACGCTTGTTTACCATGAGGATTCGAACAATTAAAAAAGTTGGAGAAACATTTCAGTCGTTACTTCTTCCAATTACTTGGCAGTTGAAATCAGAATTCGATAAGTAGGACTGCTTCTTTGCTTACAGTTAGAGATCCTAGAACACTCTAATCGTCAAGAAGGACATTCACAGAGACACGAAAGTTTGTTCCACATGCTTATATATCTCATGACAACAGTTTAAAGGATCGATTATCTAGTTGGCCAATAAATAGTTTGGCATTTCAAACCACATAAAAGGTTTTTAGTTCTGATAAGTTAAACAACGTGCAGATTTTTTCTCACTAACTTCTGTTTGACGAAAACACGTGAAGGAATACTAAATAAAACATCCGGTCCTAACACGTTATTGTACAGGAAATATAACTTTCTAAATCGAACTACGTACAAACAGCTAAAGTTTTATAGCCTTAGCTAAGTAAGTGCATATTTTTATCCAACAGACATACTTTCTGCAAAAACAAATAAAGGAAAGCGCAAGTTTGTTGGTGGTTTAACGGAGATTAACGATTCATCGAAGAATTGGACAACTGGAATTTTGAATCATCAGTGGGAAAAAAGTGAATTTGAATGGTGCAACTGAAGTTCCAACCCATTTAGACCACCGGCTACCACAAAAACCCAGACCATAACGTTTTATCGATATCCCTTTGATACGCAAGTAAGATCCTGGAGTAGTAGTAGTCATCCAAGAAATCAACATACTTTTGTATAGAACTTTCGAGGGTAAAACAGTCCTTACACAAATTATAACAATCTGAAATGAAAAAGGTATCCTGGATGTCAGTTCTGACCTATTCGGACCTGACTCATGTACACTAAGATATAAAATGCCCCCTGAACTGATAAGAGGAATTGTGCATTTCCGTTACTTCTATCTGAAATCTTACGAACTTGAACCTTCCAAGAAAAAATTTCAACTTTACGTAAATGACAAACAATACAATCAACAGATGTATCGAAAACGACGAATAAAGACACGTCATAAAAATTCTCTGAGTGTGAACATTAGATTTCGATGAGCGTTCTACAGCATCCTGACGATAGTCAATCAATTCTGACAGACTGGGAATTCTTTGGCGTGTAAGTCATTTGAGAAGATGCTGCAGAACATCACTATTACATTCAATGTATTTAGTGATGCTTTACTGTACCCAATTTTTTTGGAATCCAATAGCTAACACTTTTATGCCAGCTGTGAAAATACCTTTCTGGATAAACAGATTCGCAAAGTTTGGAGTCTCTGTTTTTCAATTACTGATTTCCTGAATGATATCTTTTGCTGCATACAAACAAATACTGATAAATATGTTTGAGGTGGTCAACGACTCATTGAATTTCATCTCACGTATACAATAGACTGAAATCCAACACTTAAAAGCGTTTATCGCATTACACTTTTACTGTATTATGACAAAGAATTCATAAATAAATTTTATAAACATTATATTTCAGAAATGCTCAACCGCAGAGTCGTGCTCTTTCATTAAAAATTCGTTCTTATGATTACAGACCACAGTTTGTTTTTCTCTGGATCACGATAACTTTCCGACAATGAGTTAGTTGTCTATTATTTTAAGCCAGTAAACGATTAACAATAAATATGTTGCCTTACCTTCGTTCCAAACAGGATTCTTGTTTTGTAGTTGTAGAACGTTCTGCATATCTTTTCTCCTCCATGAGTCGATTAGCCAGGTAGTATCCTAAATGAACAAGGAATATTTTCTAATTAAAGATGCCATAGTGTTATTGATAATTTGAGAATTATGCTTGATGAATCAACGGAGATGTTTATAAAAAGGAACTAAACTGAATCATGAACTACTTTAGGAATAAGTGCGTACAATGCAGTTTACAATTACAGTTCTTATTACTAAATTTTAATTATTGAACAAAATATGCATAGATCGATTATGTTATACCTTTCAAATAACTGAATAAGGATGCGTTTATACGTAAGTATAAATTCAGAGATAATAAATTAGAACTTCAATATAAGTATTTATAAACGAGATGTGACTAGACAATTATTATATTCCTGTAAAGAGAAACATTTGCAATACATAGTAATATCGGGCACCAGCGACGACGAATGTCTCGTTGCTATAATATACTGGCCGACTGTGGTAAAAAGTGGCGCTAACCACCGTTTAAATATACATGAGTGAGTTCAGCGCAATAGGAAATTAACGTCACCCGATAACGAATTGAAAGAGCTAACTCCAGAATGGCTATTCCAGTCAGACCGACATTTCGCATGTTAATAGTGTCATTCTTAAGCATGACAACCTGCATAAAGCTTTATTATCACAAAGATATTATGTCGATATTGAGTTTGAAAAAATGGTTTATTGACTAAGGACATACATTTCCAGGACATGAAAAGTGCTGACAGGTAGCACTGATGCGCGGCAAAATAATAGTCATTCTTCTTGGTCCTTTGAAACCCAGTACGTTTGTATCCTGAGAAAAAAGAGTAAAGGTGCATTATCAAGCGAAATCACTTCCAGGATTGTGGAATGAAAGCTGGTTTATTGATACTAGACTCCATGTGTAATCGGACAAAAAGTTATTATTATTAAGAAGGTTTTAGACAAAATCGCACTTAATTTTTGAAAAACTCAGTGATGTTAACCTTAACGTTTCAGCTAATAAAACATTTCATTCATACACATTCGTAAAACTTACACAAGTAAATAACCAGTTACTTATTATTGACTGAAGTATTACCCAAAATATCCTGTCATTTTACGAAATTCACATGTTAAAGCTGTTTTATGGAGTGTACCTAGAAAAACAGATATAATGTTCACTGTATCTTCTTTTATCTGAATGGCGATACAGAAGTGTTCATCTACGATAAGTCCAGGAAAAGACCTTTAGTACATATCTGCTAATCATGTTTTTAACATTTGTTTCAAGGTCATGTTTTCGTTATTATCCATTATATTTGTGACAAGCTTACTAAGGCAGTTTGGGGTATATAATGAGAACTTGACTCAATGTATTTCCATTCAAGTTAGCAAACTTTTTCGTCCATAGAGCGGCAAGAAATCGACAGCACGAAACATACGGAATATAACAGGAGTGAAACAAATGAAACCAACTAAAATTCATTATCTATGTTCCCCAGCCATAGGTTTCGATAAATTCGCATAATCTATCCTAAAATCTCCGTCACTTGACATGGCTACTTCCAACAGTCAACAGATTTATGGATTAATCCCACTTTTCTGTTTGGTAGGTCCTAAACATCTATAAATCTACTCCTCTGCTGGTCACCATTGCTCATCAAAAACCAGTTTCTAGGATTCGTGACGCAATTAGGTCTACAGGTACTGGTAATAAAACTTACGTATATGATTGCAGCAAGCTCTTGCATATTTTGTGTCTTAGTAGTTGCTGTTATCGAACCAGAATCATTTACCTTGTTCCCTGAATTTAAGTATTCATTATCTTGCGACTTTAATTCACAGCCGTACACAGTAAAATGAGTACCCAGAAAGTTAGAGCGCAGTTTCCCAGCAAAACTAATTGCATCACGAGATAAATTGGTGGCATCACAAGAAATCACATAGTTGCTCGTTGTTGATCGCTTGCGACGCCTGGCTGCAAGTAAGAAGAACTTACAGTCGTCTTTTTCAAGATGAAGATAATATGATGGGAAAATTCCACGATCGACACCTCGCTTGTCCCGTGTAATACGACAACGTATAGTCACACCCTTTAAAGTTGAAAAATTAAGTGGAAATTAAGATACAAACAACTTTTGAATTACAAACGATGAAATGTTATTTCGAGCATCCTGAAATGAATCTAAAAGTTTATGTCTACTCCCAAGACAAGTGATTGTTGGGCCATTGTAGCTTCTAAAGTACTACAGAGAATCAAAATGGACTGGTGCGGTTATTAAGAATTATCATTCATTCTTTAGAACTTGGAGATTTCTAGAGAATCAGATAAGATTGTATCATTTGGGCCTGAAATTATTAGCATGAGAATTTGAACAGGTTTTTCTCATTAAAATAAATCTATATTACCGATCATGAGCTATGTACAGAGAAAAGTGAGATGGACTCCAAACACAAGTCATGGTATTCATAATACATCAATTTAATTGCAAGAAATTGTAATGAAATTTCAATTTAAAAAAATTGAGGCAATGTTATTGGTTTTCTTTCGACTGACTGAAGATCTAGCAGCTCAGAAGTAACAGTTCATCATTTCACAAAATAGTATGATATAGAGTTACCACATGTATATATGTTAACGTTGTAATAACGAGTATAAGGTGAGCTATTAACTCTTGTCAAATATTAAGGTAATATAAGTTAAGTTTTAAGTGTTGTTCCATTTTAACTGATTTCAATTAGCTAACCAATTTTCTTAATCATAAAATTCTGGAAGCCAAAGTGAAGCATACATAATAGAGGTGGGCATACCTTTTTATGAAATGACTCAATGATTACAGGTAGAGCAACAGACGGGGGCGACGTACAGAATGCTAGTAGAGTTTCAATTAATATACTGAAATGCATCAACTATTAACAAGACCAACATTTATTTACACAATTATCAGCGTTAACGGTATCGCATTATCAATAAAATGAGTATAAATATGTAGTTTTTTTTACTGGTCCATTGTATTCAGGAAATATTTTGTTTGAGACAGCAAAATAAGTCTTTCGGATAAAATGTTTAAAGATTTTAGTAAAAGTTTCATGTTCAAATTATCCCATACTTAGCAGCTTTCACGGATAACCTCGTACACCGCTATTTTTCCACCTCTGGTCCATAATTATAAATGAAATCAGAAAAGTCATATGGTTAGTCCGACTTAAGCGGGGGTAACCTACAATCAGTAAGTCTATCGTTTATTTAACTAAATCCAATACCCATGTATCGATTACAGGATCAACTTATCTAAATACATCTGAGTTGTCTCGTATCTAGTTAGTAATATGGCTTTCTATATAGTACTGCCTTTCCTTTCCAGTTTAGGACGATTAGGTGTATAGGCTATATACAGTAGCTAAGTTGAATGACTGAACATAACAATTGCGATATGGAAATAATTGGATAATTGACAATATAAAATAGTTCCGTTACACTCTGATACATTTACCTGAGGAGCAGGTTTCATGATGAATTCTTCCAAGTTTCCAGTTGGATCTAAAAGTAAGGACTGAGGTGCTTCACCATACTTTAAGTCTTCACATTCCTGAGTAGCGTTTGTCTAAATACGTGAAACATTATACACTCATTTTTATAAATGTACTTAAAAAACGACTACACGTTAAGGAAGCAATGAATTAAAGAAACAATGTGTTATAATTCTTTCTTACGGTTATGACCCAGTTATTCCTATCGCTTAGTATTCTCGGACACAGATTCACTCGACAAGTCCCTAAATCAGAACACGACTGAACAGGAAAGAGACTATATTCCAAATAACAAGGTTAGATGGAAGTAAGAAGCACAATAGGAAAACCGTTAGTATATTTATAGTTTCTACATGAGAATATTTTTAGAGTATTCTCCAAGTATCGACTAGCGCTGATTGGGCAATAATTAGCCAATCAGCGTGTGCCAAAGCAATTTTGTATTGAGCATGCTTTAATCCAATCTATGTCCCGCTAACACAATACAAACTTGGGATATTGATAAGGTGTCATAATTATCGAAATTTTTTATAGAAATTCTTTTTTTGTCTCTTCATTTTTACAATAGGCCACAAAATATCAAATAGGCTGGATTCGTTTAGTGTGAAATGATTAGTATTGGCTCTGTGCTATCTTAGCGACAAACCACAATATCAAATACAGGATTAGAACCAAAACATAAGTAAAACAAAACTTTATACGTTTCTGTATGAGTAAGAATGAGAATAAACTGAACAGTTATCAACTGTACATTAAGAATCATCCCAAAAAGTTCAATTTCATATCTTAATGGTTTTTAGTAAACGACCAAAGACAGGGTCGTACCAATGACAACAGAATTAGTTACTTTGAAGTACTAATGATTCGCATATCAAAAACGTAAACTGTATCTTTAGTCGACTCAGTATTTAAAATACAGAGGACACACGAAACATATGCTAGGTGAGATTTTGCAAACAGTTCGATGGATTTCTATTGTTATGCAAGTCAGATTGGTGAAACAATACATTATCGGTAAAGCATGAATTTAAAATGGAAAGTTATTTCAGTGACGAAAACATTTTAATACATGGTGTAACGTATCAGTGGCAACAGATCCTCAATGAATCACTTATTTGAAAAATAACCCTAATTAATTTGATTTTGTATCCATTTAACAACTGTCACCTTTTGTTGTCATTAAGTGTGACAATTTTTCATATGAAATTAATACAATAATAGCCATTGAGACTTTAGTATTTTATGAGTTGGCATTTCTTTATTTCACATCATATTGTACAGATTGTCTAGAGACTCATTAGAAAACTACAACTAGATGACAGTGAAATAATTATGCTCTCATTTGTGAACTATATCTTACGGAGGGTAGCATAATAGTTTGAACAGAGTTCCTACTTTGAAAATGTTACATTGTTTGACGAAGAATCCCAAGATCTAGTAATATTAGGTTTTCCAGTGTGATTCACATCAAGATCCAATATTTGGATTGAAATTGCTTTCTGGAAGCGGTTTTTAGATAAGTCTAAAGAATTCTCAAGGGTCGTTAAGACTTGTTCGACATTCGACTCATTCCCTTCAATGGCATTGCTATCGTACTGCATACTTGTCAAAGAACCACTACGTGAAGATGTATCCAACCGATTCACGAGAACAGCTAGTGGGGCATAGACTTTTCGGCCATTAGGAGAATTCTGATAACTACGCTCCCGATCCAAAGTCTGCAAAATATAGTTGAGGTGATTAATAAATTCCATCAAAAACTAACTTTACAATATGCGGATAATTTATGTACTTTACCAATCTTTTTACTGTGAGGAGGAAAGCCCTAATCACCTTCAGTACTAATTCATCTAAGGATTCAGCGTTAAAACATAAGATAATTTATTTGTGAAGAATTCACAGTATGAGGAAACAAAAGTGGAGATGGGAAAATTATAAATTTTGATTCGTCAAACTTAACAACTTCGTATTAAAGCTAATAACGGAAACCACATTTGTGGCTATATAAGGATGATAACTAATGTTTTGAATCGTCATTTGTAAAGTAGGTTTTTAATTGAACGGCCCTCTGTTATAAATGAGCGTATAAATGGAAAGGAGAAACTATGGAACACGTTGTTGTGTGGGTCAAGATATATATCTATAATGCATATATTCTGAACAATTCATTTGTGGAATTTTAATATTATCTTAATTCATCCAACTCATTAAATGTGAACTTGCACAGTGTGAGTTTTAAGCCTGAGTATATGGTTAGCTTTATGCTGTTCTCACTGATAGTTGTGGACAGAATTTTTAGGTGAACAAATCAGTGTCAGTGTATATCTAAGGTGAGTTATGGAAGTAACGTTCTTGGCGTAAGGAGAAAATACAACAGTTTTCGTTACCATTGTTATCGCACAAAGCACCAATCAGCTTCATAATTATTTCTTTTGTTTCAAATAGAAAAATTCAAAAACTCATGTTACATTCTAAACTCAAAAGTAGTATGATGTGATATACAGGACTAACCTTCTTCTCAACAGAATCCGCATTATTACCAGTATCCGAGGTTTCGCTGTTGCATTTGGTAAAATCCGTGACTCTGCTATAACTATCCTTGTGAAGATGACTATTAGGATTGTCAGATATCTTCACTACTTGTTTCTGAGTCATAAAACCAGAGTGAGACTCTGCAGTTTCATTTCGTTCGTAATTTTCGTCATAATTATCCTCTACAAAATTCAGAAACGATATAATGAGATAGACTTCAGTACTAGTAGTGAAGATCGAACGACCACAAATAGCCTGCGATCTGGCATATGTATATTATATACTTAAAAAGAACACAGAGTGAGCAGCTAGATTATTTTACATTTTACACTAGAACTAGAATCTAAGTGATAACCAATAGGTTGGTGATAAAATTACCAACGCATAACTTTTATACTTTTCATCATTAAAGAATAAGTTTCAACATAAGCTTTTCGTAACAGCACTTCGTGAAAATAATTAGCGTACATGAAGATACACTCGTTCCAAACAGTCCTTAATAAATGTCTGAAAAACATTAACCAATCTGATCACTTTACTGATAATCAATTAAATAAGGCACACCTTTTTGAACCTCTTTGATACACTTTAGTTGGTCATGATTTGTGCATCAGGTCTATATTCTAGGGTTTTCGTAGCACAAGAAGGTACCATGCCGTATTGCGGTAAGCTGTAGACGTAAAATCCTCATGAAAGTTGATCTCAACAATGGAATTATTTTCAGACTTTTTCCCAAAGTTATGGATTACTCTGTACACATCAAAACACTTTCATTAATATATTTATGGCTAAAGTCGTTTTTTGAATAGATTGATATCATCTCCAGGGAATGAATGTACATATAGTGATCTAAAAAAATCGTTTAACTTGTCAATATTCAAATCGCTAAAATATATTATTAAACCACATATAAACAATGTTGAGGCTATAAACCTCATAAAATCAATAAGCTATCATGGATCTATACCAACTAAAAAAATTTGGCCATAAATGTATAAAGAAGAGAGTAAATGAGTGATGATTTGTCATGTGTAGAAACCTAAACTGCTACAACAGATCTCTTTGATAAGTAGAAATAAGTTATGTGTGTATCAAGCAAGTGTTCGGAAATTATCTAGATGATACAGTAACACTTCATCATATCGCCTAATGGTAGCTGAATAATGCTCAAATACTCAGTCAGTAACAACGTAGAACCTCGTACGTACGTACATCAGTTCGAGTTGTCATACCACATTAGCACAGAGATGCAGTTATCGATTCAAATCCCATAGTGGTAGAGGTACTGAAAGTATAAGTAGAGATAGGGAACATTAAGGTTTGATGATGTTATTAAAGGAGTATAGTCCAGTGGAATAAATTGGAAAAGAAAATAAAGGACATGAATAATTCAGTGACAAACACTGTCACAGAACCTCACGATCAACAGAGTCAAATACTGCCTTAAGGTCGAGAAATATTACTATTGTGTGAATATCTGGTCAAGAAGCTTTCTGTAAAACTCATATTTTCCATCATCTGAACTGCAGTCAGTGGGACAGTAGGTAGAGACGACGAACAGGCAACGACGAGTGTCCCTATCTTTCCGGGTCCTTACTGTTCCGTTTAGTCGGACAGCACACAAACGACTGTCTACTGGGATCCAGTCCAAGAGAGCTAGTTCCGCCCTAGGACTCAATGCTATACCTACGCCAGCGAGGCCACGGGAAGCAGCATCAGGGCTTCTAGATACACGAAGCGTAAATCGGGTTGGTTCGTTACTTTGACATGGTGCGGTCAAATGAATGACACTACTGGGATCCTGTGTGCGCGTTTCGGAGACGCAGCACACATCGATGGAGCGAGATTCTAAAGTCTTAGCTAGGGAAGCCTTTTATCCTATATGGCACCGTGTTCGGACGTTGGAGGCTCCCACGTGTAGTTTGGAGCGTGGTTGCAGGAGACCATGAATAACATTCCGCGTACTCGAACCGTTCGCACTAGCGGGGCGAGGTGATAAAGGGACGTAAGAAGAGTTAGTCGTGGAGATAAGGGAGTTATTACAAGGTGTAGGAGGGATTTGAATGTGACCAACTTGGTCTCGTGTGCTGTTACGGGTATGAGAGCTGATATCACTTCCCGGTTGCCCACACCGTGGAAGGGTATTTCTCGAGGGACCTGAAAAGGAAATCGGATTAGTGTTGATCTTAGCGACCTGGGTGCGTGACCGCAGGGCCCAAGGGACAACTGCTTGAGGCCGGTCGCGCACGGCCTTTTTGTGGGAGGTTTTTAATGTGTTAGCTCCGTTCTTTAAAGGCCCTTACCGCCGGAGACAGAAATCCGTGGGGTAAGGTGAGGTGTGACATTTTTAGGGTCAACCTTTTCTAACCCCTTCCTCCTTTGTGAGAAGGCAGCATCGCTGCAGACGCTGATTGTCCGAAAGAAACACCTTACTGCTGTCACACCCCTCTACAGTCAGCAGTACGACTTCGCCGTCAGACCTTGAGTTGCTACGTTTAGTCTTACCGTTCTCCAATCGACCTGCCTGGCATGGTAGAACCTACAGGAACATACGTTCCAGCCAATATAGCTCGGTCGGGTCATCACCACCACATCAAGTTAGCAGCTACAGTAGAGAATAGGGACAATAACGGGACGGATTTGCGTGCATATAGCATACAATCCTCTTCGAACCTAGAGCACAACAATAGCATCATGAACTGCCTCATTTCCCTTGGCAGATCAGGCAACCCAAAAGCTACGAGGACACCATCAGGGAATTCGACAGGCTAGGTACCCCAAATTTATTGTTTTTCCTGAAAGAAATTATCAATAACCTGGGCAAATTAGAAATCAACTAGCCATAAATATTTCTTATTATTTTCCATTTTTATTCCTTACCCTAAATCATTCATATTTTGTTTCTATAATATCATAAAATTTAAGTGATTATACTCGCCTTGAAGACTAGCTATTTGGCTGGCATGCATTATCGGAAATTGTAATGTCTTAAAAATGTGATGAGTAGAGAGACCGTGAAAAATTGTGTAAAAATCTAGATTCTTGATGTCATTACTGAGATGCGATCACACAATCAACAATTACTAAAAACCTGGAAGCGCTGGACGGCCGTTTCCTCCTAGTATGGGACTCCTCAGCAGTGCGCATCCACGATCCCGCCCCCCGCGGGATTCGGACCCAGGACCTATCAGTCTCACGCCAGGCGCTTAACCAACTAGACCACTGAGCCGGCATCCAACGGTGTTAATGTCTAACTTCAACCAATCCACGAAGTTGCGCCACCGTCATCATTGTCTTCAGTGAGCTGATATCTCACAACAGACCCATACTAGGACGAAACGGCCGTCCAGCGCTTCCAGGTTTTCCATGGTGGTCTAGCTTCAATTGATTCATGATTTCAACTATTGAAATTACCAATTCTCCACAAAACCCATTCTAGTAATTACTAAAAATACAAGCAGAATAAAAAACGCATATGAAGCTGGAAAATTGTTGGATATTTCCATGTTTCGAAAATATTCTTTTCTATCACATTATTCTAAGGATAATAATAACGAGCAAAAGAAAAAGTTAGTTCATGAATTTATTGTGGAATACTAATACTAAATGTGTCATAAATTTTGCAAAAACTACATAGATGAATGATTTATCAGCTTTCAGGAATATTCAGGAATTTTTTACAAATATTTCGATAAATACTTTTGTTGCAGTTAACGGAAACAAAAAAAAAACTGTATATAAAGTTACAAACTATTTGGTGTAGTCTTAAAAATTCAGATTACATTGGTAACATTTTTCGTGTACAAAAGAAGTAATCAGATTGGATTTTGAAGGTATTTATTAACTTTTCTATGTCTCAAAAATTGTGTAGCCTATATGTTTTTATTTTAACTGTTAATTAATGAATTTAGGAGAACCAATAACTTTTTGGTGCTACGTTTCTGAATATTATGTTGTTTGTCACTTCAACATAGCTTTTCCATTCGATACATCAATGGTAAAATACTTTATCTGTTATGATGCTTTAAAAGATGAATACAGTCGTTGGGGAGAAAAGAAATTAGGCAACTGGAATATTAAGAAAATCTTAAGGAAGACACAAACGACTAGGTTTTTTGTATGACCAGTTTTTTAATTAAAAAGCTGTCACGTTGGTATGATTTTTAAGCCATGTCTTAAACGTTCATTTTATATTATTTTCTATATCACTTAGGAACCCTAGTCTAAAAAGATTGAAACAAGGAATCAATGAATTTATGAGTTAGAATAACGTTTTAGTTTGATTACTCTCACTGCTTTAAGACTCGAGAGGTTTAGTGCAACAGAAAACCAAGAAATGTACCAAATTTTAGTTCAAATATCACAAAGTACCCTAAATCTACTTCAAATGATCAACCTGTAATAAAAATCACCTTTAAATTGAACAAAATGTCTGGGAAACCATACTAGAAAATATGTTATTCTATTTCGGATTTCGTCACATTTCTAAGTGTTTTACCCAAAAAACTTCAATATCATCGACTGTAAGCTTTAAGTTATGCGTAATTTGAATAACTTACCAGTAGAATCCAGAAAGGTATCTTGGTCAAGAGAAGACAACATCGTACTCGACCGTGTGATGGTTAGATTGTTCAGACTATCAATACTTTTGTAATCTCCATTATCTTGTAATGCTTCAGAGTTTGGTTTGCGTCTTACTGTTTGATCAAACCTTGGTTGTCCCAAAGCAGTAGGTTTTGTGAGTACATGAATAACTTGAATTTCACTTGTAGGAAAATCATCAGGATTTGATGGATCACATGATTGCGGACCGTCATATGCTAAAACATTTATACAGGGTGAAATATTAATTTGAGCATAGGCGGACTAAAGCCACACTAAATCGAAACGACGAGAGCTTGAAATCGAACTTCACGGTAATTTATACTGATGAGTGTAGAAGAGATAAAAAGGAAAACAGACTAACAACTGAAACGAAATATAGTAGCACTGGTCAATATTAATAAACTTAATTTAAAAGGAGTTCTACCACCGGTTATAATAGAAGTTCAGTCTAAGCTTTTATAACAGTAAATGAAAGTATATAATGTTGTGAAGCTGTTTGGGATAAACGACCTCCAGCCAAATGTCACTAACTTAAGTAACACAAAGATCGTTGTTTTACAAGACTAGTAAACCAAAAGTAATTGATAAACTTAAACGTAATTTTTCACTAAATTTAAGAAATGTATGTTGTCTAACAAAAATAACTATAATTCAGCACAGTAAATTAAAATACGTGAATTAAAAACGTGATCAATCAGTTTATTTGTATTGCAAATCTTGGTAAAAGGTTGAATTCCCGAAAACAGTTAAAATCATCATGTTCTGAGAGGAACTTAAGAAAGAAAGAAACGCTCAAACGGGTCAAAAAATAGCGCAAATGGGTAGTCTGAGTAAATGAAATGAACACAATGAATAACAGACACCATGAATAATGATGTAATGTAATTCAAAATCTTAATTCCGTATTATCTTACAATAAACAAATGTGTTATTAAGCAGTCACGTCATTACTTCTTACTACAATTTTATTCCACATCAATGATCCCAAAACACACGCATCGTGCCTTTCTATTATAATAGTAGGAGTTTTACTAACTAGTAGTTACAAATATTCATTCAGTTACAAAGTAGGACCAAGCACATATATGCATCTGTGCAAGTTACCACACCTCATCAGCACAACAAAATGAGCACCAAATCCATAGAAGTAATTACATCAATGGTAGTAATATATAAAAGAAAGACTACATATAAGAATATAGTAAAGAGAGAATCAGTCGGTAGAAAGGATATAAAGCAATTTTACAATATTAGATAAAACCACTCAATCCTATCCAAATCGTCGCCCAACTTTTAATGTTACATCCAGAGTATGCTAAGGAAAATTCAGGTAGCTGAAAGAAATTTATATAAATCATCACTCAACAACAACTAGGATAAAATTACAGCAAAACGTTAGTTAAACCTTCATAATGCTTACAATGACAATTGTTTGAGAAGACTTACCATAATAATTTTCATCAGTTCTATTTTTTATTGGGAAACTAAAAGCCGATTGATTTGACAATTTGTTTTCTCTCCAGCTATCAGCTTTACAACTACTGATACCAGCACTTTCTGTACGTTTTTGAAGTGACAAAACTTGGTGTGCATATTTTTGTCTTTGTTTGTTGCGCAGAAGTTCTCTTTGCTTCTCTAGTTTTGTAAATCGCACATTTTCCATTATTAAGTGGCCTAGGAAAAAAACTAACAAGTCTGAAAAAAGCTATTGCACCTGTAACATTTTAATAGAATTTAGGGAGAAGACATATGGACGGTTTACAAACCATGAATGCGAATGGCATATTGTTATATTTTCGCTCTTACGGTTATAACCCAGCTATTCCTATCGCTTAGTATTCACGGTCACAGATTCACTCGACAAGGCCCCAAATCAGAACACGATTGAGCAGGAAGATTATATTCCAAATAACAAGGTTAGGTGAAGCAAGAAGCAAGAAGCAAGAAGCAAAATAGGAAAACCGTTAGTGTATTTATAGCTTTTTACATAAGAAGAATCTAGAAGCTTCTCCATGTATAGACTAGCGCTGATTGGATAAGAATCAGCCAATCAGCGTGCGCCAAAGCAATCGTGCATTGAGCATGCTTAAATCCAATCTATGTCCCACTAACACCTCCCCTTTGAGCAGATTCGTAGGATCTGGTGCTAGGGTCCAACTGCAACCGAGTGACTGGCCTGTGCTTTCGATTTGTCCATCGTCTAGGCAATAAAGAAGTATCACTCTTTGCTTGCACAGAAACTGACCTGTCTGTTCCAGGCGTTTTGATTTCAAAGGTGTCTAGCAGAACATCAAGAGGTAATCGATATTGAATCTCATTGCTGGCTATCGAAGTTGATTTCAATTGGTTAGCATGACGTACCCAAACTTCTGAGCCAACTGACACCTCATAAACCACACTCCCCTTCTTTTTCAAGATCCGACCAGCTGTCCATGTAGGATGTTTATCACGATAGTCCATAGCAAGTACTTTTTGTCCCACCGTGAACAATCGTTTTTGTGCCCCATGATGTCGATTGAACTGATTCTCCATAGATAGGTTTCGTTGAGGCTCAAGAGCTGGCGTAGGACGGATGACATCGAAATGTGTTCGTATTTTTCTGCCAAGTAGAGCTTCTGCTGGAGAGACCCCCTTAATCGTCTGAGGGTTCGGTGTAGTGCGATAAATAAGCAGGAACCTCTCTAAGATCTCTTCGGTGGTCCCCTCCCCTTTAGATTTTTTTAGAGCATTTTTAAATGTACTCACAAAGCGTTCCACTTGACCATTTGATTGGGGATGGAATGGAGGTGTTCGGACGTGATGGATTCCGTTCTGCCGACAAAATTGTGAGAAAATTACGGACGTAAACTGTGTTCCGTTGTCACTAACTATCAATTCCGGGACTCCGAAACGACTGAATAGTTGACGTAGCTTACTGACTGTGCAGCTTGCAGTCGGGTGTTCCATGAGAAAGATTTCTGGCCACTTGCTATATGCATCAACTACCAATAGGTAAGTTTGTCCATGAAGTGGACCAGCAAAGTCCAAGTGTATACGCTGCCACGGTGACTGTGGTATTGGCCATGATTGCAGCTCTGCTTTTCGCGGTGCTTTCGTTGCTAATGCACATTTAGTACATGAACGGGATAGCTGCTCCAGTTGAGTGTCTAAATGCGGCCAGTATACATAACTTCGTGCTAATGCTTTCATGCGATTTATTCCAGGATGTCCTGCATGCAACTGTTCAAGCACTGCTGGTTGTAGCTTCTTTGGGATTATGACACGTTCTGCAAACAGCAGGCAGTCGTCGATGATTGAGAGAGAGAGTCTACGCTGGTAAAACTGTTGAAGCTCTGTGGAACTGATCTTCGCGGGCCATCCTTCCAGGTGGAACTTTCTAACTTCTTGTAGAATCGGGTCTCGAAGAGTTTCTTCTCTGACTTCATCTGACGACACTGGAGTGTTTCGAATGGCATCTGCCACTATACTTCGTATTTCTGGGTCTACTGCTATGGAGGCAAACTTTCTTTTCAGTTTTTCTAGTAACCTTTCACCTGTCTTCTTTGCAAGTACTGGGGTGTCTAATGATGAACACAATACGTTGCAGACACTGTTAATCGGTACATCCATTATTCCAAGTTTATCTAACATATCTAGACCAAGAAGATCAAGGTTTGGCCGTTCTGTTAGGTAACATATTCCTGTACAGTTAGTTCCATTGAAGGAAAATTCACACCGTAATTCACCAACCAGTTTTAGCACACCACCTGATGCGTTTTTGGCCGTTTTCTTAGATGGCTTCATTGGCGGTTTACCCAGCAAGTTACACGTTTCTCTAGATACTAAGGTGATATCTGATGCCGTGTCAATTTGAAGACGAGCTGATATGCCGTTTATCTGTATGGTAACATACTTTCTCCGAATGTCATAGTTTGTTTGAAAGGCAGCTACCAGAGAAAGAGATTTAAACTCGGCTGATTTCACATGTCGAGAACGTTTATGCTTCTTTTTGGGATGAGACGTACGATTCGGTGGACAATGACCTTCTTTATGTCCACGTTTGCTGCACACCTGACATATATGCTTTTTAAATGGACAGAATCGTACATAATGCCAATCACCACATAACCAGCATGCAGTCGTTGGTTTATTACGAGTTGTTATCGGCTTCTTAACTTTTAACCTAGTAATAGCATTGACACTACTGCAGGTTAAATTAGGATTTACCTGTTCAATCAACTTGTTGTCGTGTCTGATGCTTTGTAGCCGCTTACACTCATCTGTTAACGTTCTGAGTGTGACGTTTGGGTCTTGATCTAGTCGAGCCAAAAGTCTAGTCCTGATCTCAGCATCTTGTGGTGACTGAAGAGCTTTGATGAATATTAGGCATTTAAATTGGTCTTCTGTCAACGAGCGTAACTTGAACCGTTCACATTCTCTGTTGACGATGTCTGCTAAAACACCATATTCATCGGCTTCGCGTTTCACCAAATTTAGACACTGATGTCGAATACTAAACAATGAGGAGGATTCACCGAATATCTCTGACAATTGAATTATCGTCTCCTCGAAACTGAGCTCTCGAGGTAACTTAGGCAATATATGGTCAGCATAGCGTGCATGTTCATTAATTCCTAACTTACGTACCAACAGTCGAGTCTTCCACGCGTCGTCTTGGTTACAGAATTCTATTCTAAATGTATCTTCCCAACGTTTGAACCACGTGAGAAAAGTATTTCCGCTTTCGGGATCATAGATGAATTCTGGTATGCTGCTAGCAACTGCATCACAAGACGTACTTGAAATGGCATGTGAACTCGAGCAGTGGAAGCTAAGCTGTTGAGTCAGAGTCTCTAACAACCGCATTTGTGCATCTAATTGTTGTTGCTGTTGTTGTAGTATTCGGTTAAGCTGGTCGTCTGATATGGACATATTGAATTTATTTTCCTTTTTCCTCGTCGCCACTGTTATATTTTCGCTCTTACGGTTATAACCCAGCTATTCCTATCGCTTAGTATTCACGGTCACAGATTCACTCGACAAGGCCCCAAATCAGAACACGATTGAGCAGGAAGATTATATTCCAAATAACAAGGTTAGGTGAAGCAAGAAGCAAGAAGCAAGAAGCAAAATAGGAAAACCGTTAGTGTATTTATAGCTTTTTACATAAGAAGAATCTAGAAGCTTCTCCATGTATAGACTAGCGCTGATTGGATAAGAATCAGCCAATCAGCGTGCGCCAAAGCAATCGTGCATTGAGCATGCTTAAATCCAATCTATGTCCCACTAACACATATCATTAATTAAATCTTGAGGATAGGAATTTCAATGTGGAACATGCAAAAAGATGGATGAGTTATAAAAGACTCAGGAAAATGAGCCTAATTATATTATTTTGAGAAAATACATAGCTGACAAAAGCCTTCTGTTTGGATAGAAGATAAAACATCCCCATACAGTGCTTATTTGATATAAATAATCTAACTGGACAATTTTACATATGCCATAGTATCGACAATCCGACTAGTAACTTCCATTCATCACGATAGAATTTCTGTGACAATGTCTCATAAGTTTAAGCAACTTTAAAATCAAAGTAGTTTTAGGGATCCTTGAAGCCATAATTAGAACTCAGGAAATATACGCCGTTATTAGGCATAAACGATACTGTCTTGACGGAACATGATTACCAATGAAATTACAACCCATCTGTTTTAGCAAGAGTAGGGAAGATTGTAGTTTTTATAAAAGAGATTACATAGTACCACTCTGCCAAGCTTTTTCCTAGTAGAAGCAAACCTTCGAAACAGTTAGTGCTAGAAAGTATTGAAAGAATCCCACAATTTTCGTTAGGAATCTCATTTATATCCCATCGAGATTTAAAACTTCCCAGTTTTTTAAGGTTCAAATAACAAAATACGCAGTTTTAGCAATCGAGGCAATAATGGAAACACATCTGGTAGATATTAAGCTGAAACCCTCAATCAGTCAGAAAAACGCAAACTACATTACTCAGAATACAGGTATGCTTAAAGACACATTTTTTATCAAATGAGATTCTATTAAACCTGCCTAGTATATCCAAATTAAAATTGTCTTATGTGACAGGAATTTGAAACCAGTTTTATACTACAAGTAAAGCATGACATTAGTATCTAAGTAGAACCTTCCAAGGAGAAATTATTTTATACCATCAACCTCGAGGAACTATAACGAAACTCATTTAGGTAGTGATGAAATTCAGAAACGAAAATGATATCCCATGATGAAATTTTACGTCACATGAAAGAGAACTTTTAGTTACGTAACCACACATTTTCGATCTGTCACTCAAGCTTCGTGAACACTACAAGAACAGATCAGGTTGCAACAATAAGTAGGAATACGTACCATTTATATGATTTAGTAAGGAACTTAATAAATTCCTACAACGAAGAATCCGAATCAAGATGAAATGCTAGGGGATCAATGTTAATACTTGGCAATCTGGCTACGAAAACGCCTACTAAATATCACAGGAACTGAAACGGTATCGAAACAAGAAACAGACGTAAAGAAATAAGTTGGTGTATACGAGTTCATAACAAAGATAATAAATACTGGTAAACTCCCTTAGCGACAAACTAATATGGAGAGTGGATGGTGAACTGCTGTCATGGGGAACGATACAATCGAGTACAATCTTATCCACTTCTTTGTATTTACTTAAAGTAAATTAACTAGTGTTAGCGAGCGAATTCAAATTTTGCATGCACTATAAGCATAGAAGATTACATTCTTCACTGCATGCAGTAAAGTTGTAATATGACAACCGCTACAAGACTGAATTTTCTTATAAACAGTTGTTGGAGGTAAGTATCTGTAAAATTAGTGATGAGGCGAGACGAGCCAGTCATATTTAGGACGGCAGTTCTTGGATTTTGGAACGAAATAAACTCACTAATTTGGTTGCTCAAAGGTCGTCTATAAATTGTTGTCTCATTTAAAACAGCGATAGATGACATTGGTACGTCATTTGTTGTATGAACTTTTAGAACATTGATGGGAATCAGTCATCCTAAGCAAACAAAAAAGGGGTAAATAAAGGCAAATTTTTAAGAGAATCCGGTATAAATATAAACGACAGTGCATCAAAACGTTGCCCTTCCCCCAGATCGATGTAAGTAGTACGTAATTTCTTCATCCAAGTGAAAAAGCGTCACAAAATGAATACTTTTATCTTCCCAAAAATATATACTTTTCTCGAAAACTAACACTTTCCTCGTTGCCTACAAAACGTTGAGATTGCTATCTCAACTGTTTTGCATGTAAAACCGACAATACATAAAGCGGTTTGAAAAAAACATTTCACGAACATAAGCTCCATCCGGTAGTTTTAGAAACCCATTTAACCATCTTTCTTTGCATTATTTTACCTAATACTGATTGACTGTCTCAACTACGCACTACTGTACTGATCAGATACAGCTCTACTGTCGAATAGATATACTCAATAATTCTGAAGAATACAGAGGATCCTTTGCATCAAACTAAATTTAGTGCACCTATAACGTGGGATACAAAACGATTATATAACTACTTGACAACCCAATCAACCAATAAAGGGGAAATATAGGCGAAAAAAAGGGGAAAATGCTTTGCTAAATAAAGTGGAAAACGCGCGAAAATGTCGCCTTTTTCGCCTGTCCAAGGAAAATAATGAGGGTTTCCCCCTTTTCGTCGCTTTTTCGCTATAATGTCTACTTTTCCCCTAAATATCCGCCGAATTGTCTATTTTTCGTCTGAATATCCGCTGGATTGTCTTCATTAATGAAGAAACATTGTATAACACTATATACCACATACCGATTTGCAACTTTATCTTCCTTGTAAATAATGAGGACTGAAAACCAGATTGTAAATACTGAAAAAACCCATTTACACCAAATGTCTGTTCAACCAAATACAGCCTACGTCAAACATTTATATATGGAATACTGACCATTTTCGAAATGTCATCAATCTAATAAACCAACTACCAGTGAGATTAGATGCGGTAAAACAAGAACTATTTTAAATATATCACACGTTTGTTACTTTCATCAGGTGCTGATAAAATAAGTGATTAATTTGGTTATTTAGACAGTTATGGCAGACCGAAGTGTAAGAATAAAAGGATGGTGGAAACGAAAAGAAGAGTAGTAGAAATAAGTCATAACTGTAATTTATTAGAAGCAAAATTTCAAACGAATACGAAAGAAAACAACGTACTCAAAAGTACCGATGATAAATTACTTTTGAGCAGTATACGACACTCTTGGCACATACTTTGCTTAAAATAAATTCATTTAAACTGAAAACGGTAGTTTTGGGAGGTAACTAACTATCAAAATAGTGAAATCAATTCAGCAAGGAAAAAAACATTAGGTGCTTTTTATGTTGCAAAATGAGATCATTGGTCTCAGTGCGGTAAGTTTTATGGACGCAAACGTTATATGGTTGCCATGAAGAAAGTTGGCCGATTGCAGTGTAGAAAATAAAAATTGAAAAACTTGAACGCGGAATGGCAAAGAGAATATAGCAAATAGAAGTAGATAAATATATAATTTAATAACCCAGGAGGTGTGAGTAGACCAAAGTGTAGGGATAAAATGGTAATAGAAATGAGTTAATGGCACGGGAAAATAATAATGGCGGACAACTTACGAGACATGAATCAAGTATAACCAGTCCAAGAGGAAAATGCGAATCAGTGGATGAGTGCATCATTGTCAGATCTAGTTTTGAAGCTAGTTGTCCGCACGTCCACTCTATCGTCCACAGCGTCAGGAGAGAGCCTGTTGGCATGTAAGAATGCGATCTTCATTACCAAGTGAAAATACTTGTATGCAATCTCACCTAATTTCTTCGTAAGTTCTCTTACATTGTCTTAAAGGCACTAGGCCGTTTGCCACTTTTGTGGTGTTTCTCGCTGGAGGCAGTTGTTTGAAGGTTTGTGAAAAAGTCACAGCTTGAAGCAAGTTGGTCTGTAGCGTAGGAATTCATGAAAATAAGCTTATCCGCGTCCAGTACAGTTCGCGTGTCTGCGCTGGCGGTGTCCTGCATCATATGTTGATGGTCAACGCCCACTGGGGATGAAGAGTCTCATATCGACAACAAAGCTAGTCATTTCCCATGACAACAATAATCTATAACAGTGAGCTATACAGAAAGGTTAAGGTGGCAGTATCACGTTGTATACGGATGACATCGTGTTAAATCTATGATGGTCTCGAGAATAGTCAAATTTTATTAGAAGGGTTAAGATCTCGTTCGGAACGATAACCGCTCGCATATTTTTTATCAATTCGATTTTTCCCATGAACTTTGCCCTCTGATTGGTTGTCATGCTTTTTAGTTCGCTAAATTGCCACATGCTTGAAGGGCTTATTCTGCTACTGCAGTAACCATCTTTGTGCCAATTTAGTTTGAGTTGCTTGTTCCGCCGCATATATCACGTTACCTGCAATTCCATCTTCTTCCTGTTTTAGCCGTCGAGGTTTGTTGTGTTGAGCATAATTGACTGTTGTCAGTTACGAAGTGAACCGATCGTATTACAGAAGCTCAATTGTTTCTGTTCATAAATCCTTAATATCGTAGGCCGTACTGAATCCCAATAAAAAGACACAAAAGGTAACTACAAATTTTTCTTTAGATTCTATAGTGCCAACGCCACTCAACGTTGTAACTCTCCAAATTAGGTGGTTTGTGTCCATGGTTTTAAGCTTTCTGGAATTTGGTGGTAATGATGTGACCTCCTAGCTTGCTTTCTAGTCATATCTCATGGCTAATACTTGAAACCTGATGCGCTGTCGTGATGACCATGTGGGTCGACTTCTGGAGTGACTGGCTTGAGTGAATATTTTCAACAAACAACAGGATTTATGAGTATTATGCGGTCGTAGAAGCACATGGAGAAATGACTGCGACACCCATTTTTCAAAGAGATGGAGTTAAATGGCGGGCGTTAGTTATTCCTGATCTCAACAAAAGTCGTTGAACTGATTGACACTCAGTGATCTGTCTGCACATTACTTCACTCGGACCCACTGACATTATACTGGCTTTATAGGATGACTGAAAAGATAGTTTGCGGTAAAAGCCGCTTTGCTGAGTCCGATATGATTTGTGGGCACACAGTATAAATACGGGTTTTTTTGTAATCTAGGTTTCCTCATGAATTGCACTTTTTCGATTGGTTGCCATTGCCTTTCGTTCGTTTAATGTTCGGAGACTTGAAGGCTGTATTTTCGTAAGTGTAAAAGCAGAGTTGTACCAACCCATTCTGTAGTGATTGTTCTAGCTCGAATAAAAATCTTCACTATAAATTGTCTCTCGCGTGTCAGAAAGTCAGGTTTTGAAGTGTTGTATGCTAGTTGCAGTTACCATTTACTCAATAGAACCGATTGTATCAACGTACTTCAGTTGTTTCAAATCCCTCAATAATTGTAAGTTAATGCAGAACCTAAAACAAAGAGTTGAAACAGAAATAGCTTTCCTTTGAATTTCAAAAGGTCTCAGAATATCATTAACAGAAAAGTCGATTCTGGCCTATATATTCATTTAGTGTAGTTATGACTTTCGGAATGTAGGAAACTCAGTCAAGCGATCCTTTCAAATGTCAGGAAGCATACTTAGACAACACTTCCATATCAACAGACTGGAGTTTGATTGGCTGCAATGTAAAGGAAGCAGATATTTTATCTCGAACGGCTCTGATTCCATGTCTTGATATGACGAAGATAAAGGTATGCTTGCATGGAAAGCGGATGGGTGGCTAAAAAAATTACGACAACTATATAAACCTCCTTAGATGTGCATACAGACTTAAGTGCGAAAACATATTCACAAAATACTCTGTGTAATATCACGCAACAGTCACCACACTTAAAATGCTTCAAACACGACGTAACCAGTGAGTATTGATGTGCACGTACCTCCTAGCGAAGAAGTTTCAAGACAAAGTAGATAGGCGGAAATGATGGTTCAGGAAACGACGTATTATGCTGACTGTGGAGGTACTGTTGCTGTACAGTAAAACTAACAGGATTGGTCAGAGTTTACAAACCCTACGAAACTATTCGTAGTAAACTGCTAATCTCAGTCTGTATCCTGTATTATCAAGTGCTCTTAGACTTTCCGTAAGACTTATGATATTTATGATAACCAGAGTCGTCACTTCATGATGACAAAATCTGTTGTGATGTTCCGGCACAAATTTCAATGTATATAACCCACATTAATTAAGATGCTATCGTACGTCAAAACTTTTAACGATATTGTAAGTTTTCGACTATAATCGAAATGAGTTTACATATGTTTAGCTAATTGTCACAATTCGCTATAAATGACTAGAATTCTTCAATATGAAGAATTTCTAGTCGACAACCTCTCAATTCTGGCTCCCCTGGGGAAAAGCGATCACGCTGTTATAGCCTTCAGTTTCGTCAGCAAAACAGAGCTAAGATATCCCGACAACAACAGGCGCTGGAACTTCAAACGGTTGAATGCGTCAGCTCAACAGGATTATCTACAACAGGTGGATTGGGATGTTCACCCTCAACTTGATGCGGATGCTCATTGGGACTCCTTACTGCACACGCTCTCATGTGCTACTAAGCAGTCAGTTCCTCAAACGGTCCCCAAAAGGCACAAGCAACCTACAATCATCAAAAAACGCACTCTTCGTTTGGTAAGCCGTAAAAGGAACTGTTGGGCAGAATACAAACGAACCAACAACAACAGCGAGTACAGGCAATACAAACATATAAGGAACATATGTACGAAGGCTATAAGAGAAGACAGGCTTCAGTACTAGTTAAAGTTTATGGATAAATTTATTTCCAATCCGAAAAGTTTATTCCGTTACGCAGCCTCTCTTCGTCAAGCCAAAACTGGAGTTTCTCAACTGCTAGGTCCTAACGGCCCGACAGATAATGACGGTGACGCCGCTAACCTCCTGGCTGAGCAATACTCCCGGACATTTCAACCGACCCACATCAACTATACTGATGTCGGCTCTGTCTGCAACTGCACAGGACTTTCCGTAGTGAAACTGAGCGCTGACTTGGTGTTCCGTAAATTACAACACCTAAGAACAGACAATTCTCCTGGTCCAGATATGGTCCACTCTGCTATACTGAGGGAAGCAGCTTCAATCCTGGCAACACCGCTTAGCGTGTTGTTCTCACACTCGCTAAGTCGGGGCAAACTACCGGATATTTGGAAGCTGGCTCATATCACACCAATCTTCAAAGGAGGTCGACGCAGTAAACCTTCAAGTTACCGACCGGTGGCCCTTCTCTCTATACCTTCAAAGATCATGGAGTCCCTGGTATACGATGATATACATGACTATCTGCTGTCCTTAAATTTCTTCTCACCCCAACAGCATGGTTTCAGGAAGGGTTATTCCTGTATGACGAACCTGCTGACCGCGGTGGACAGATGGACAAGTATCGTTGATCGCAATGGGAAGTTAGACATTATTTCTCTAAAGCTTTTGATAGGGTTAACCACACATGTCTTATTAACAAGCTCAAACAATTGGGAATCAAACCACCTTTAATTGACTGGCTCAGTTCATACCTCACAAATCGACATTTTAAGGTCAGGGTAAACTTCAATTTCTCACGCGCTATGGAATGTTCTAGTGGGGTCCCCCAGGGCTCAGTACTAGGACCTCTCCTCTTCCTGATTTATATAAATGATCTTCCTCAACAGGTAACGTCAGACATACTGCTCTTTGCCGATGACGTGAAACTTTGGAGAGAGATACTCAACGAAGAGGATATACAGGCTCTTCAGGAGGATCTGACTCGACTTCAAAGTTGGGCAGATGATAACGGACTTATCTTTAACACTTCAAAGTGTAAAGTAGTCCATCTGCGACACGTCGCAGATTACAGTTACAACTTAGGAAACTCCTCTCTAGTAGTATCCCGAGTCGAAAAAGATTTAGGAGTTCTGGTGCCCTACGACTTAAAGTCTTACG